AAAAAAAAAAAAAAAAAAAAAAAAAAAACTTGACGTGGTCATTTTATAATATTACTTATCATGGATTGAAAATGAAAATTGTATACTATCTTTGGCATTATCATCATTTTGATTATATGATATTATATTAATTAGAAAAGGCTCATTATACGGCTGGAAAATATTGGCAATGAACTGATGATAGTATATTGAGAACATTTTAAGATGTTGTTCTCTACATCAATGTTGGGTGTTTTTCTCCAACAGTGCATTGGGAAAGCAAGAATCATTAGCAAAATTTTTAATATAATAACTGTGCCTATTATATATTTGGTGGGGTTCAAAACGTATGGCGACTTAAAATACACATGGTATAAATTTATGTATGTTCGTATTAAAAATTTACAGTACACCACATAGAATTGTTCTTAGTACTGTAAATCTGAACGTTAAAAAATTAATATAAAACTAAAAACACAATTTTCATAGTAGAGCAAAATAACTTACTCTACTGTAAAAACTCTTATTTTTACTAATTCCATTCCTCTTTAAGGTTAAGAAATCCGCTAATTTCCCTTAAAGGATTTGGTTAATTCTCTTTTCAAAATAAACAAAGAGAAAAAGAATATAGTAATAAGTTTTTATAGGGAGATGCGAGATGCCTACAAGTCCAAATCCCAAATTAACTCACGCAGTGATTCATATTCTGCTGCTTTCCACATGATTGTCTCCATATTTGAAACTTGAAAGTTTCCTACTAGATAATCTAGCAAATTAAGTCAATGTGGAAAGAATACAAATTTCGAAATTATTTCATAAATCTCATATTAAATTACTTAATTATGAGTTATGCAAAGACGAATACACTTTCAGAGTACTTCTGATACAATGGACTAAATTAATCATTTCCGCAGAAGATTCATGTATACGTAATACATAGTAGTTGATGAGTCGATAAGTTTGGTGGATCTTGACGAGATTTCGTTCACTTTTGAAAAGTGCATAATATTTATCTTAAAAAAGGAAAATCGTAGTGATGTTTTTTTTTTTTTTTTATACGGATTTATGGCCCTCGCTGAAAACGTGCATTTGAGCTAACAAAGTTTTATGCCATATATTATATTGCCGTCAAACTATTAAAGTCAAAATAGGAAGGATTTTGTGATTCGGGTACTTTAAATTTTAACGGACCATTGAAAAGGTATTCTTTTTTCTTTCTTTTTTTTTGGATATTAATAAAATTCAAATCTCTAGTTTAAGAAAATATCATGTAAATACTTGGCGCCTTTCTATACAAAAATGTCTTTTTCTTCTTCCAATTAATTAAGCCCAAAACAATCATTCAACAACTAAATAATTTAAAAAAAAAAATCTAAAACAAACATGAAAAACAAAGAAAAAACTCATCCTATACTAAAATAAAAGTTGCGCAGATCGCCCAATTATGCCATCCGAGATTGCCCTCTATATATATATATATATATATATATATAGTGCCTCGCATAGCCCCCACCGCGTCGAATCTATGCGCCACACAGCCCTCAAACACCACCAAAGCCGAGGGTCCTGAGACCCACTCCGCTATCACCCTAACCCGTACTAAGGGTAGCACGACCCACCTTGACATTTTCTTTTTTTATTATGATTTTTTTTTTTATTCAGATCTAAGTTTTCAGATGCATGGTTGTTTTGATTATAATTTATTTGATTTTTTCTTTCTTTTTTCCTTACTTTTCTTTTATAATATTGTTTAATTTTAATGTGTGTCTATAATATTTGGTTTCATATCAAAAAATTAGAAGGGAAAAGGAATATATGTCCGAAAAACGAATGCAACTTAGAAATACTTTTTTCCATAAATCAGAAAATATGAGTCAAACAAAACTGTAGGTATTTATACTTCTTAGTTATTAATTATAAATTACAATTATTGTTGTTGTTTAATCATTGTTGCTTTAAATTTGCTTTTAAAATTGGTAGCATGCATCCATTTTAACAATTATAGTCATGTGGTTATGTCACATTGACACCAACATAAGTGTCGAGTTCAAATCCCCTATCCTAAGTTTTTTTTTTTTAAATCTTGTACTATTCACTGTTTTTTTTTTTGGACTGGCTATTCACTGCAATTGAAACTTTGCTAATTTAGTAATTAGTATTACTATTTACTTATTTAAGATTAGCAAAAAGTATAAATTGAAACATAATAGTTTTATTTAATTTTAAATAGTCTACTTTTAATAATTTGATGTCATTTTAATATGATCCAGCACTTTAGAACCATATTCACATTTTTTTTCACACCCTACTATAAGATATCCTCCTCATTATTAAAACTCAAATATATAAAAAATCATTTATACTACTGTCTAAAATCATAATTCTTTTGGACTCTTAACGTTTAAAAGGAATTAAATTCTGTTACAAGTTTAGTTCATTTGGGAGAATAAAAGAAACATGCAAATAGATAAATGATCGTACATTACATTTTAATTTGAATTCAAATTTTTTATTTAATTTATGCCTTTAGAAATAAACAAATAAATAAATAATCTCACTTGACCACTAAGCTTTCTATGATTAGATTTAAGAATATAGTTTAATGCCTCTTTTCATATTGATTTTATTGATTATCGATTGGGAAATATGCAAATGTAGAGATAACTATGAGGAATGGAGACTTTTTGTATTTATTGGATTTTGTGTGTGTGTGTGTGTGTGTGTGTACAAGGATGGTGTGAATCATTCTTTTGTATTCCGAATTTCTAATTTGATTATGATCACTACTCGGCTTAAAAAAAAATCTCCTTTCCTTTTCTGCTCCCTTTTTCTAAAAGAGAAACATCCCGTTTTTGAATCGGTTTAAAATGGAATGAAATTAATCCTAGTTCAACAAGGTTCATGGTATTAGACTCTTAATACAATTGTGAGATTAGTAATTGCCAATTAAGTCCATAGATTTTGAATTAGATTCAAGGATCTTAGTGTACCTTTTCATAATTGGCTTTATATAGCCACGAGTGCTTATAATATTGCTATTTTAGCATAAAGTTTCTATAATTAAAAAAACGCGTCTAAAAAGAGCGCCAAAACACTAGAGATCGCAATGCATAAAGTCACGTAGAATTCTACTCCTAGTCTAGGACTGAAACACAAAGTTTCCCTTTTTAATACATACATGAGTTACAATTTCTCCTTAAATCAAAATCTGTTTTCTCTTTCCAAGTGGGTTCGAGGAGCTACGATTGGCCATGGAAGCTTTGCCACAATCAGCATAGCAACACCCAGAAAATCCTCTGCTGATATCCCTTCACTCATGGCCGTGAAATCCTCCCAAGTTTCTTGTGCCGATTCGTTGAAGAACGAGAAAAGAGTGCTTGATACGATCGGAAGTTTCCCGCAGATTGTTCGATGTTTCGGCGAAGAACAGAGCGTCGAGAACGGTGAGGAGTTTCACAATCTTTTCATGGAGTTCGCCTCGGGAGGAAGCTTGGCCAACAGAATCAAGAGTCAAGGCGGTCGTTTATCGGAATTGGAGATTCGACGGCACGCGAGATCGATACTAAAAGGTCTTTCTTTCATCCACGCGAAAGGGTTCGTCCACTGTGATATTAAGCCTCAGAACATCCTTGTCTTCGACGACGGAGCCGTCAAGATCGCCGACTTCGGGCTCGCAAAAGAGGCGAAGATGGAACAAAACCAGTATATGATAAGAGGTACCGTTACTCATTGCTCGTTTGGTTTATAAGTTTGAACTGAAATTTAAATTTTTATAGTAGAAGCAATGTCACAAAGAATTTGAACCGTGGTTTAAACCAACCAGTCATTTAATTGTTTATTTTACTTTAAATTATTAGTTTAAGAACGAATGTTTAACGTTGTAAGAAATTTTGCTTCAACAGGTACTCCCTTATACGTATCGCCGGAGTCGGTAAACGACAACGAGTACGAATCGCCCTGCGACATTTGGGCTCTCGGCTGCGTGGTGGCGGAGATGGCAACTGGAAAGCCGGTGAGGGATCACGAGGAGGGAGCGAGTGTTTGGCCTCTGTTGCTTAGAATTGGTGGAGAAGAAGAGCCGGAAATTCCCTCGGAGATTTCGGAGGAAGGCAAGGATTTTCTCAGAAAGTGTTTCGTTAAGGATCCGAGGAAGAGATGGACGGCCGAGATGCTTCTAATTCATGCGTTTGTTTTGTCTGATTATGATAATGGTGATGATGCTAACGACACTGTTCTATTAAACGGGGAAAATTGCGTATCTTGTTCTCCAAGATGTCCTTTTGATTTCCCCGAATGGGTTTCGACTTCGGAGCCCGAGATTTTGCCGGAATCAGCTTGTTTTCCTTCGCCGGCGGATAAAATCCGGGAGTTGGTGACAGAGGAGAGACCCAATTGGTCGTTTGCCGACAGTTGGGTAACGGTCAGGAATTACAACAATTGTTGCTAGCTAGTATTTCTTTTGCTTTGTAAATATTAACAGTGAAAGACAGATTGTTTTTTTGTCAATCTGATCTCTATTAACTATTAAGGCCTTTTCTTTTTTTTTTTTGGGAAAAAAAATTTAGTGCATATTATCTGTACATAATCCTTCGTGGAAGATATGAAGATGCTTTTATTGTAGTGAATTTGTTTTTTTTTTTTTATACCATTTTTAATGGATTGATGGTTAATTTCCTTGTTTCTTGGCTTAAAAATTCCAAGAAGTTGGACTTAATTTTCTCAAGCGTTTTCATGGTTTTGCTAACGGCTTGACAACGACACCATGAGCTTAACTTTGCTTGGAATTTGGACCCAAAACATAGGTGAATACTTTCAAATTGGCTCCTAGAATTGTTAACAATTTTAACTAGCAGTACTTTACTATTTTCTTTTTTTTTTGATGGATTTACTATTATTATTATCATTTGCCACCAATTGAAAAAACTTGAATTACTTTCAAATTGGCTCCTAGAATTGTTAACAATTTTAACTAGCAGTACTTTACTTTTTTTTTTTTTTTGATGGATTTACTATTATTATTATCATTATTATTATTTTGCCTTTTCTTTCTTTCTAAGTATCCGAATTCCAGTCTCTTATGCTTATTTTCAATTTTGAATTGTTAATGTTATCTTTTAAACAAGATTTAGCAAGTAGAGAGGTACCTAACCAATCATTTGCTCAATGAACTAAACATCGATTAATGATTATTAAGCACGGAAAGAGATATTTGGTATATAACAAAAGCTGGGGCCACGGATCGGTTAAACCATAAAAAATATAAGAATGTGTTTCAAATGATCCTTATATGATATAATATACACACACACTATCTTTCTTTGTTACTTTGTTTTTTTCAGAGACTTTGGCATTCAAGTTATTATTAGTTATTATAGGTCCTTATCACATATGGTGTTTCTTTAATTAAATCAACATTTGTAAGGATCATGAAAGCAGATCATAAGGAGTTTGAACTAATAACAATGGAACCAAAGCACAAGGAGTTAAAATTAGCGATAGGTAAGATGCATGTCATGATTACGTCATAATAGCTAAATATGGTTTGGGACCTTAGGTTTAATTTGCCGTTTGTAAGCGAAAATTGACCTGCTCATATCGGTTTAACTGGCATTCTGTTATTCTATTTTTCGTTTTTTAAAATTTTATTTTTGTGAACGGCCGTATGTGTGTAGATAAATCATATCTCTTTAAAGCTTCTAGTTTTGAACTGGCATATTTATGTACTTGTGAACTTAAAACCGATGTCGAGTAACTTTTAATGTGTTTGTTTGATTTCTTTTTAGCGTTCGGCTCTTTGTATTGTGTAATTATTGTGTAAAGGTTTTCAAAACACACATGCATATATGTATGTATGTATGTAGGTAGGTAGGTAGTAGAGGTGTCAATTGGGCCGGACCGTTCATGGACGGCCCGGCCTAGCCCACTATAGTGGTAAATTCAGCCCAGCCCGACACTGTACTGCTATGGGTCGGGCTGGGCCAGCACGCCAGAAGGGCCTGGGCTGGGCCTCATGTTTGAGGCCCGCAGCACAGGCACGGCCCCGGCCCTCAGCCCAGGCACGGTCCCGGCCCTCCAAGGCCCAGGCACCCGAAGGGCAAGGCACAGCCCGCGAAGGCCCAAGCCCGCGACATGAAACTTTAATGAGGTTTGAGGCATTTTAGGGCCAACCGGCCAACCTATGCCATCTGGTCAACCTATGATATCTGGTCAACCAGTCATTTTCTTGTAATTATTCATATTATTTCAATAAAATCACAATTTTGTAGGGCATATGATATATTACTTTTTTTGTCATCAAATTTGAAATTATAAAAAAAATCTTAAAAAAAATTGTTAATCATAAGTGAAACTCAAGTGCATTAAGAAAATTAGGTTAAGATTGAGTTTAGACATAATAGAATCTTTTAGAAGTACTTAGGTTTTGTAATTTACTTATCCTAGAATACTGCACACTTTTTTCTATCGCTAAGGTTTTTTCCCGATCTCCTCACGGGTTTTACTTAGCAAGGTTTTTAATGAGACAGTCATTTATGTGTGTTTATTCGTATTATCTCAATTCAATAAAATCACATCTTTTGAGCGCACATGATATATTTTCTTTTTTTTTTAATAAATATTGCAAAAAAAAATTAAAAGGGCCAGGGCCCAGGCCCGGCCTTGGCCCTTATAGACTAGGGCCAAGGGCCAATGCTGGCCTTGAGGGTTTCTCCTCAGGTCCGGCCCTGGCCTAGCCCTACACTGTGAAGGGCTATGCCAGGCACGGCCCAAGCCCACCAAAAGCATGGAGTTAGAAGGGTCGTGCAAGCCCGGCACGGCCCTTTTGACATCTCTAGGTAGTAGGTAGATATATATGTATGAGTGTGTAAAGAGATTTTGTACTACAAATGTACAGAGAAATTTACTCTCATTATTTTATTTATTTATTCATTTATTTTTTTTTTGTGGTAAGTGAGAAATTTAGTATGTTAGTTGTTCATCCGACATTTTTTTCTTCGATTTATTTTTTAATTATTATTTGTAATTCTCAGATTTATTCTTGTAGCTATTTTACCTATGACATTCCAAGTTGTTAACTGATCTCCCTTCAAAGAAGAAAAAATCTGTTCATGATCTAATTTATCTTAATAGCAGGGAATTCTTTTAATTAGAAAGTAATTTATACAACATTATTACTGCAAAAAAATTACAAAGTTCTGGTATCATGAAAAAGACGAAATAGCACTTGCAGGCTAGTTTGAAGTTTACATAACGCGTCACTTAAATAATTTAAATTAAACGTCATGTGTGCAATGAGAATTTATCCTTGAAAAGATTCTAAACGACGTACCAATTTCGTCAATAGAGCAAAAGTGTGTCGTTTATATTCAAATGCTGTTTTTTCCCGAGTTTCTGTTAAAGAAACGACATGTCATATTTTACTTGAAGAATAAACAATGTCTAACTAACAATATGACCGTCTCAATGGTTTCGCTCATTTAGGTTGTGAATTTATATAAGAGAAAACACTGTAGTAATAAAAGTTGAATTTGAATTTTTATGAGAGAAAACACTGTAATGAAAACTTGAGTTGTGATTCGAACTAACGATTTGACTTTTTCTAAAGAGGGAAAGAAAGACAATATGGCTGATTAACCATTCTGCTAGGAAGACACCACAAAAAAAACTAACCTAACACACTTTAGGAGTTCAATTTAGTTTAAAAGGTTAATTTATTAGGTCTAAGGTGATGAGGACATCAGCGATGCAAGGAATATTCACGATCCGATTCAAGTCTCAGTTGTTCTGGTGATGAGGTATCGAGCTAAAAGGTGTAAAGAAGAGTTGGATAACCTAGTCCGGAGAGTTCTACAACAAAAAGAGAGAGTGTTCACTACTGAGGGTGAACAAAGGCCGGTAGTACTCATCAAAGTCGATCCAAAAGAAAGCCAATCATTTAAGCCATGTCATGGCCAACTTGCATGTCATCCCAAGATACACGTGCAAGGGAAAGTCCAAGAGGCTTTAGGCACAATTTCTAGTAAGATATCATTTAAAGATTGCGGGTGATGACTTAATTTTGTCTTAATCCTATCTTTTTAGATTTAAGTTTCAAGTTAGCATTTAAATTCCAAATTAGGCGTGTTTAGAAGGAAGGAATTGGAGTCAAATTCAGATTCCTTCCCTAGGATAAGTTTTTAGGCGTTTTTAAGCAAGGAGTTAGATTCAAATTCAGATTCCTTCCCTAGGAGTTATCTTTAAGCGTGTTTATCTTATCTTTAGGTATTTATCTTGCTTTAGGCTCTACCTCATTAAGGGTAGATTAGGATTTTTATAATTTTTAAACTATTCATGTTATTTTCTATAATGACAAAGAAAATCCCGGAATTTAAATAATGCAATTTATGTATTTAGGTCAAGGATTTTTCCTGAAAAAAAAAATATATTATGTTATATTTTTATGACTGAAGGATTTACGGAATTAACAATTTTATTCCTAAATTATGTAGCAGATTTCATGTTAAGTACATGTTTTATGATCAAGTAAATTCGATCGATTAAATTCTCACTGTACTTTAAGGCGAAATAATTTCCAGTACATATACAGTTTGAGAAGCTTAATTCTAAGAATCTTCAAGCACAGTACGAATTGGCGTCCAGTATATATATACATGAGAAAATTACAACCAGTATAATTTTGATCAGTTTTAAGGGAAAACTTGAGTGAGTGGCCAAAAGTACAAGGGGCTAGGTTATATTTTTCTCTCTCTCTCTCCACTTGGGCGGCCATGCATAGTGAAATTAGAGCAAAACATGGCTAGTTGAGTGTGTTGAATGATTTCATGGTAAGGTGATGTGATAGTAGTAGTTGAAGGGGAAATCATGGCATATTTACTCCTTTTCTCCACCTAGAACCGGCCATGACTTAGGGGATTTGAACCAAAAATTTGGTTGATTAATGAAGTGAATTGAGGTTAAATAAATGATCACCAACTTGTCTATAAAAGGAACCATCATAAGCTAGGCCTCATTTTTACCCCTCTCATTTTCTCTCCACCCCAAAACCGGCCACACACATCACACTCATACTCTCTCAAAAATTTTCTCTCATTCTCCTAACCTTAAACCACTAGCAAGCAATAGAGGAAGAAGAAGGAGATCAAAGGATTCTAGGAGGAGTCTAGTCAAGCATTTCTCCAAGGGTATAAACTCTAAATCCTCTCTTTCTCATGTGTTAGTAAAGTTTGAAATGTAGAAATATTCCTCTCAAATTTCCTTATACTCTTCTAGTTCTAAGCCATTAACAAATCTTAGAAGAGTTCAAGGGTTTTCAAGAGAGAGAGTTCTTCAAGGGTAAGTTCTCAAACTCTTCTCCATTATTTTCTAGCCAACTTTAAGCTTGAATTTAGGGATGTAATTTGTGATTCTTAAGGAGATAAGTTGTAATAAGGGTGTGTGAGTTTTATGTTG